CGTTTGATAATACCAAGAACGTGTTTTTCCCGATTATGAACTGCAATTTTATCAATTTCCCTACCGCTCGCTTTGTGACCCTAATTTCTAGTACGCCCATGAACGTAAGGATCAGAAGAGGAGCTGTATAACTGTAATACTCAATTGACAGCAGATATTCCAACAACACAGTACTCTACTTACAAAATCAGTAAATAAATGCAATCTCTATCCTATCTAAACATGATGCGTAGTGAACAGGTGCGCATGACACTTTTTTTTCAGCGCAGGATCCGAGTTTGTTGGAGGGGAACATGGTTCTTGATTTTTACAGAATTTTCCCTCTATCCATAGCGCTGAACCAGTATTAGCAGCTGTTATCACAGCCATGGACATATGATCCATTGCATCTTGCGCAGACACCAACGACGCCACCGATGCTTTGCAGCATAATCCTCTTTACGCTTCAATGAAGCGCAGCTTCAGGATAATATGTAATTCCCATAAGAAAATAATGTGCTCCAGCGAAAATAGTGCGCGCCGCGGCGACTACTCTAGCCTTCGGGGATGCTTCCCCCAACGATAATGGTAGGGGGACGCGTCCCCGAAGCTCGGTGGGCGTGGCCTCTCCCCGAATGAGCTTCGGGGACGGATAGCATACGACTTAGGGGACGCATCCCCTTCCCCGAAAGCATAGCATACGGCCCCTAATCTTGTCAGCGCAATCTCCTACTCTCCACTACTATGCCATTCTCCCCGTCAAAACATACGCTTTTCATTGTCGCGTACTATCCTAATCTCCCGAGTCGCGAAGAACTATGAACAAGGCCTAAGACACTGTAGATCAATGTGACCTTTTGAGAATAAATTACTATTTATTACAGGCATTTATTAATATGATGGAATTCAGGTATATTTGAGAGATGATTACGTGGGTATAAACCCAAGTAATCATCTCTCAAATCGAACTAATGTGCTACGCTGAAGCTCGTCCATTATCATTCGCAGGTGCAGCAGCAAACTGCTTTTTTCTGAGAGACCCTGGGGCCGTATGCTGAATGTTGGGTAGGGGACGGGGATGGGTGAACGTTGGGGAGGTTTCGTCGCAGGACCCTTCTGGGCAGCTGTCGCACCTTTGATTTTGCAGCTTTGTTTTCACCCTTTTACTGTTTCTGATTGTATATTCGCACGTAAATATCTTTCTTCATACCAAAAGCAGCGATGAAAGAATACAAACAGAGCTGCAATATTGAAGGTGCGACAGCTGCCCAGAAGGGTCCTGCGACGAACCCGTAATGCGGCACGCCGTCATACTGCTTGCGTGGAAGGCCATGCCCACTTCACCCACCCCGGCGCCCTACCCAACCATTCACGCTAACGCCGCCGGAACGAGCGCTACTTACTTTAAAATCAGTATAAACACTTCACCGCTGAACAGAAAACTGAGAAAACTGCCATCAGGTTATAGCGAAATCCAGAGATGGATGGTGAAGGGAAGTTCTCGCACCGAAAATTCCATTAAACATCACCAACATGCAATAGATCAATTGTACGGGTGGAGGCCAATACGATAGGTCGATCGAAAACTCGTCACAATCGAGTAAGTCACGCTCATTAGCGGCATAATACTAAAGCAATGAGACAGTCCTGCGTATCCACTCACATACGAACGAGTTATTCCCATTACCACCGTGTTTATGTAACAACCGTACTTCACAAAAAAGCTGATATGGATAACTGCAGGCCTGGGTGAACCAAGTACAACATTAATTTCGGAAGCCGGACGCGCTTATCATCTAAACAGATATTGAGGAGAAGAAAGCTCGACGAGCGAAGCATTCTTGGCGATTAAGAAGAATTCAAAAATCCAACGGCGACTTTTTCCGGCACTGTCGCGGTGTCCGCAACGCGATGCCTGAGGCCGTCTGGCTGTGTGTTGGCGCTAGGTTGAGCACTGCAGGTTGTAGTAAAACTTTTCTCACAATGGTTGGTCGAGATTCAGCTCTAGAGTTCAGCTCTTGCGGATTATCGAGTTTGCATCTCTAGACTGTCATTTATCAAATGTTCGGCGCGTACCGTATTACCTTTGATCGCCGAGGGCCTCTTGTTAGTCAATATTTGCTATGAGACGATCGCATTGATTCTTACCAACTGGTTTTTACGTGCTGTGCGGCCTTGCTTCTGATCTAAGTGTCATCCTGAAAAAGCTACATGAAACTTCATTTGAAATTAGATTTTTTGCTCCATTCAACGTTCTGCTTACTTTGACTAAGATAATCTGCCCAGGCTTGAGCATCTAAGAAACTGCTGTGTCATGACATCTCAGAATACCGATTTCCGTCGCTGTGACGTTTATCTGCGAACTAGACCCTGATGGGGTACACCTGCATAAACTCCACCTTCCTCAATTGCTCCTGTTCGCCTCACTTCCATTGTTTGTGCAGCTTATTTAGAGGGCGCCGTAGTTGTAATAGCCATGTGACGACCATTCAACAGTACATTGACTTGCGGAGGTAGCTCAAAAGAACGACCATTACGCTGTTAAAGCAATATAAAGTACTCGACCAATTGCTCCACTGATACAAATTCAGGCGCTATGGCAGCATTCCCGAGCTGGCGATAGTAACATCGGCGATTAGACACATAGGGTCTCATCCAGTAAGGGGGGGGGGGATGTGGTGTGACAGTTCTTGCCGGCTACAGAAATTCCAATTTTTGCAAGGGGAGGGAATCCCCGGGGTGCGTGAACCATTTCGCTTGAACTTTTACACCCACCCCGGAGCTTCCCTCCTGAAAAAAGTGATTACTTCTCATGCAATATGAACTGTCGCATCACATGGCCCCCCCCCCTTTTCTGGATGAGGCCCGGCGGTTGGTTCGTAAGGAGGAGGATAGGTTTCGATCAGGCGATTAGACCAGTAGCCGAGTAGACGAGTTAGGCAATTAGGCGAGTAGGTGATCACTCAGTGGGTGGAGCCAGCCAACCTAATACAGGGGGGGGGGCAATAAAAAAAGACATTTTGTCTCCACTTTCAGATGGATTTAAGCACACTTTGCTCAATTGAGACCGAGTGTTCCCAACTTAATATTGAAGAGCACATTTCATTCTATAAGAAAATCTTCATGTTGGCCACCCACGTGGACGGCAACAGAAGAATTTGCCCTGGAAACATGGTGCACTGGTCGAGCTCAATGGGGTCTTCGAAGGATTCTGTACCATAACGACCTTTACTGGAAAGCTCGTTTCGAGGGGATTTGTATAGTGGGAGCTAACGCCTCTAGAAAAGTATCCAACATTAAATCGATTCACGAAATTGCGTAAGAGCTTCAGGCTGAAGCACTTACAGTAGACCTCCTTGAGCCTGACGACGGTGACAGATGACGTCATATTCTGGGAAGGATGGTGGGAGGTGAGGAGGAGGGCCTGCGTTCACTTATAAAAGGGAACCCTCTAGAAGAATACATCTGCGAGGAACTGTCCCTGTCACTCCCGGCAACTGACCTTCTAGGCGCAAGAAAAAGCCCCCCCATGGGCCGACAGCCGACAGAAGCAAATATTTTTTTTTTTTTTTTTTTTTTTTTTTTTTTTTTTTTTTTTTTTTTTTTTTTTTTTTTTTTTTTTTTTTTTTTTTTTTTTTTTTTTTTTTTTTTTTTTTTTTTTTTTTTCCCCCCCCCCCCCCCTTTTCCTTTCCTTTTCTTATTGCCTACTTGTCGACTCGTCTAATCGCTTACCTCATCTAATCGCCTAATTGATGCGTATGTTTCCTTCTTTTAATCTGTGTCCAATCTCCTGATCGCCTGATCGCCTAATCGCTAGTCGCTGAAATGCATGTTCGACCGCCTACTCTGAACGCTGCCTATCGTGCTACGGGCAGCCCCCTTGGAGCTATGAGCTAAAGAAGGGGAGCGAGGTCAGGAACTTCGGAAGACGAAAATTGCTCACGCGCTCTAGAGTTTCCCCCTGGCGATGGCTCAGCCCCATCCATAACAAAAGTTATGTTGTGCTACCTCCTTATGGCCCCGTGTCTTACGACACCCAAATTAACATTATGAAGGAGGGCTGTCCGGCTTCAAAACGAAATCTTAGCGTTTTTGCGCTCTTTCACCTGAAATTTTTTTTGAAAATTGGACTCAGTAGAATCAAGCGTAATTCTCAGTTCCTCTCTGATCACTCACCTCTGATCCTTCATCATCGTGACGCTCATTCCATTTAGATCCATTCATTCCATTCATGTAATCAACTTTGCCATAAATTCAAGTATAACGGAAATATACAAGGCTTAATCACGGATATTCCATTTTTGACGCCTTTTCGTGCCAGCTTGGTGTCAACTGATACCAAATAAGTGATAAAAATGGGCGCAATTTTATGCCGACGGTATTAAATATCTTCATGTGTTTTGAGTTTTGAGTATATCTAGGTCGTAATGGTGTAGCGGAACCACAACGTGGTTCCAGAAGCTGTGCTTTTGGTGAGGAAAAGAGCTACAGAAGAGCACTATTATGTTAATGATGGAGGAAGACAGTCTCATTGTTTCTTACACCTTTTTTTGCTGATGAATTCTATGAGCAAACTTGGACGGCGCTCAACTACGCCAACGCTCTGGTTCTGATCATGGATTGAATTTCCCCCAAGCTACCTTCGATTCTCCGCGTTACTTGGTTCAAATCAGTCTGAGGATAGGAATATGAATTGTAGGTCGGCTATCCCGCAAGCCCCTTTCGCATATCGCATCCACCTGCTGTAGTGTTCTAAACTCTAAATTAGAACGCCTAGCGCGTTCTAAAAAGCGAATGATCAACGTCGAAACAATTCGTCCTTTTTATTGAGTCCACTTTCCTTGCAAATAAGGCATTTGTTTTGAGTGTCGCAGGAAGCGGTTATGAGTAATCCTTAAACATACGTATCCAATATTTGGACATATTTGTTGTCAGTTTCTCATGACTTGGTCAAAGTTGTGGTCTGTTCTGCTCACTTCGGAACCGTAGTATTTTACAGGTTGCCCTTTAGTTTCGGCGGCATGGGCGAGGAAGGAGCTGCTCCACCGGCAGCACCTCCAGCTCAAACTCAGGTATCTGGTTCAGGTAATATCTCATTTCTTCGTTAAGAAGTTTCCATATTGCATACCCCGGCAGGAGGTCCTTCTTAGCAAGCCTGTTTTTTGGAACAGTTTTTGCATCTCTGGAGGCTTATAAATGGACTGAGAGTCCATAGATTTTTCTCCTAATGGGTTCAGGAATATAAAACGGAGTGAGGTTTTGTGACAATTGTAGCCTTCACTGGCCTCCTGCTTCTTTATTAAACCGCTTTCATTCTCATTCTTAGGGTCTTCTTATGTTCGATCCCTTGCAGCTCCACGCACTGAAAGTAACGTACTCTTCTTGGATGCTTAGTTTTCTTTCTAAGTTTCCTCAATTAGTGCTGAGTTTTTCACAAACGATTGTTGCGAAGA